AATGTGCACAGACAATGATGCACCACAAATCAGGGCTCTGGTTCCATTGGATGGACATTAAAGATTTTTCTGCCTGCTGCTGCAGGAACAGAAAAGCTCCTTGTTCCGTGTCTCATTTGCTCCTGATGTGATTCTCAGCCATATAAATGTCATCATGTACAGGTGTCAGCTCCATCCATTAGGGATCATTTAACTTTGTGATTTTGGATTTTTTACACTGTTGTTTGCTCATTAGATGTTTCATTGTTGGTAGATGTCAGACTACGTGAATCGGGAGGTAGCAGTGATTTCTTCTTCCCAGAGCTGAGCATTTCTCCACCATACAGAGCTAAGGTAATGCACATTCAGCACAGAAACCAAACTCTGAACAGCATGCACATTGTATATGTATTGTCTAGCCATAACTCTTTTTTGTTTTGTTTTTTTAATTTTTAAATATCTTCCCTGATGTTAAAAAAAATCACAGTTTTGTACATGTTTAATCTCTCTCGGACTAAATAAACTCACACTGAACACACAAGAATTTTTGTTGTTCATTCTTTATCGTGTCCCCAAACTTGTGACGTATGTACAATGAAAACTAGAGCAGAGGCCATTTTCTTGTTTCCCATTTGAATCCTTCACACGTGCAGTTGGCGAACACGCTCGCCAAACAGCCTCTCCCTTTCCATGACGGCTGTCCTGGGATTGGCAGATGGCACAGACAGGGAGGGGGTTAGAGGTTAATTCGAGACAACAGAGAGGTCACAAGGCCTATTATTTTTGAGATGGGACTTGCAATGCTCCAATGGGGATGACTGTTATGATCAAGGCCCAGCCCCACCTCTCCATCACCATCCACAATCAACACCACACACACGATCACTCACATTTAAAGTGAATGAGCCGACAGAGGACTAATCATGAAAAGGTCCTCAGCGCTCGGCACAGGCAGGATGATGAATTGTATCCTGCCTGTTCGGCTGTGTAACGGGGCCTCCAAGTAGCTCTTGACAGCTAATTTAAAGCTCCCTATATCCTCCTCTTACTTCCCTTTATCAATCTAATTATTAGAGTTAAGTGAGTGTCCCTTAGGACTCTCCGATAGTCCAGCACAGAACCTGCTGAGTCATCTTAGTGGATAAAAAACACACATAAAGATCAGTGTAGCAGCGTGGGCTAAAGAACAGTGCAGCCATGTGAGGAGCACACTCTGTAGGCCTGAAGATATCAGACAGAAGTCGATTCTAATTGTATTTGTATCATTGTGAATAATAATGCAATATAATATTATCAAAAGATAAGCAATGAATGGATTCTAGTACTTCTAATGGTGACTGCAAACCTGATATGTGTCATGACCCGATGGTAAGCACACACAATGTAAGTATTTAACTCAGTTTCACTCATTATTGTACAAAATATGAAGTAAATAAATAAAGATGTGTTGTCCTGTTTTGAAAAAGCATTGTTTTAAATTTACATAAAATGGTCTAAATAATAATAATAATAATAATAATAATAATAATAATAATAATAATAATAATAATGATAATAATGATAATAATAATAATAATTATTATTATTATTATTATTATTATTATCTGAGACTTTTTAGAGCTGTACTGTTGCTTCAGCAAACTGAGAACGTATTCAGGGCTCGACTAAGAAATTGCTGCTTTTGATCTTTAGGAATGTTTTAAAGAAATAACAGAGAAATATTAGCTGTATCTCACAGTTATGTCTTTGCGTGTATTTAAGTATAATAATGAGACTTTCAGTAGTACAGCATTAATGTTTAGGAGTCACGGCTGCTTTTATACACAATAATAATATATTTATATTTTTTGTTCACCGGAGTGTGAGATCAGTTTCATTTATCAGTTACAAATGTATCTTCAAATGAAACCAGCTATTTATATTTTATATTTGTAAAATGTATATTTCACAGTTACATACTACTGTAATAAACCATCACATCTGGTTATTTCACAACTTAAGGCAGCAGTAAACATAGTAGTGCGACTGTTTACCTTTTAATATTCAATAACATAGTTGGTGGAAGTTGAAGAGGATCATTTCTATTTCGTTTGGTCTTCCATAAAACTGCCGGGCAAGCAGCAACTCGTCACATTTTTTAAGTGTAAAGCAGCAAGCATCACTCGTGATTCTTACCAGTCGAGGCGGCCATGCTTGTTTTGTGTTTTCCAGTAAATTCCTGCGATGTTGTGCCTGTTTCGGTGGGATTTTTCAGTTCGATCAGTTTAATGTGTGAATGAATCTAAGAAGATTAGCCAGGCTTACGTGTGTTTAGAACAAATATTAAATCCGTGCTTAATATATTCGTGTAAAGACACATTTAGATTTTTGTTGCTAATACTGATTTGATTTTGTTACAGTCAGATTTTCGCAGATTCATTTTTTTGCAGTATACTTAAAGAAATTAATACTTTTTTTCAACTTTTTAACTATCCTTCATCCTACATAATGCTCTTTGTTTCTTGTAAGAAAAGGCTGAGCTCTCAGTAGTGATTAATGGAGGTTAATTGCACATGATGAGATCATGGTGTGGTGTAATTCATGTGAAAACACAGGAGAAGACATTAGTGGCACTTGGTCAGGTGGCAAATCAGCTGTGGGCTCTTGAAACGCTCGTTGAGATGGGGGACATGTGGAGGGAGGGGGGATAGGTGTCAATCCTGAGCTTGAGGCTACACCAATGTGGAACTTCAAGGCAAATGAGGGGCAGAAACTGGATTAATGCCACATAAGAGGCTGAGACTCTGGGCCATATTGCATGTGACTGGAGCAGGTCTTTTATGCTCATAGCGCCTGTGGCAATGGAGAAAAGTGCTTAAGCATGGTGAGACATTTTTTCTATAAAAGGACTGCAAATGGATTGAAGCACATTTGGTTCAGATTGTGTTTTTCTCATGGTGCACTTGTCTTCCAGGGGCTGGTTAGATGCATTATGGGTCTGAAGACGTTGTACACCCCTCTCACCCTCTGAACCTCCCTCCAAGACATTCTGTCTCAGACAATTGTCTGTCTTTGAGGCAATTAGCTGAGTTTTAAAAATCATTAGTGTGCATGTTGTGTTAAATGTCTGGTTTTCATTTAAACCATCCTTTGAATATTCTGCGAACTGTTTCCACATAAAAACAAATGTGCAAATAAATAAAGTTTATTAATAACATTACACACATAGTTACAGAACATTAAAAGGATTTGTTAAATAGCACATGCTGGACTCTGAAACTCCAAGGAGCTCAGTGAAGACC